AGCTGATATGCTGCGTTTTAACTCTCCCAGCTAGTGTGAGGATTCAGCGTCTTATACAACAGGTTTTGTGGGGTTTCGCCCTTACAGAAAAATACACATCCGTACCCTTTAATACTGTCTAATTGTTTGAATGCATTTGATAATTTGTTGACACTACAAAAACTAGAGAAAATCAAAAGAAATTTTTTTCTGACCTGACACAAGTTGAGCCCGAAACCCAAACGACGACCAGGTAGAGAATCGTTGTACACAGGAGCGACAGCAGGGTTCCTTTCGGAATCGCTTTCTCCGGCTTCCTCAGGTCGCCGGAAATATTGACACCGGCCAAAAATCCGGTGGCAGCAGGGAAGTAGATGGCAAGCAAGGTGAAGAACGAGTACCCTCGCCAGTCCGGACCAAAGTTCGTCGAGAGGGTGTCCAAGTTGTATCCGGTGACTCCTTTGAGTTCTTGCTCAGGTGTCGGCTCGAAGAAGGTGCCAATGAAAAAGTTGACGAGGGACGCCAGCAGAGTGACCATGAGAACGATCTGAGCCTTCGACTCGAAGCTGATCCCGGTGATGACGATGCACAACATAACCACGGCAGTCGCCCAACCGATGATACGCATGTCGTTGACGTCACCGTCGATTATTTTAACGCCTTCTCTCTAAGAACAGATAACACTGACGAAGACGAGATCGGTACCATTTAATTAAAAGTATGCATATATGCTTAAGAATACAAATCGTTATTATTTAGATGCTACCCGAAGAATATCGAGGACAGTTTCAGCGAATCCAGCCATGTAGACCGCAGCACCAACGGCATTGGCGGCGAAGAAGATGATTCCGATGCTGCCTCCAAATTCAGGACCTAACGATCGAGAAATGATGAAGTAAACGCCTCCTAAAGTGACAGTTTTGAAAGATGATTGATTTCCAAGTGGCACAAAGCCTCTTACCTCCCCTGACCTTTCCGTTAGTGCAGATTGCACAGGTCGACAAAGTGGTGATTACTGTTATCGTTGAACTTAGCAGCACAATCCCGCTGGCGAATCCGATTCCGGCCAGACCGGTCACCCAACTGAGACGGAGAAACAGCATCACGCCGATGATGTTCAGCACGTCCCTCATCTGACAGATTTGTCTTGGTGTGAAAAGCTAAGCTTCCAAGCGATTTTACTTACAAAAACGCCCTCTATCCATCCGAATTTTGAAGGGGCTGATTTTCTGGGCACTGGTGAAGTGTCTCCAGGCAGAACTGCTTTCAGCTTTAAACGACATTACAATATAAGGCAAAATAAAATAAATCATTCAAAACGCCGTACTTCTGACTCGCTATCGACATGTATGGCGAAAGTCGAATGCAACTCGTTCAGACTGGGTCGTCGTGGGATGACTGCCCATTTCACCGACATCACCTTCTTGTAATTATGGATGTCCGGAACGGTTTCCAGGGACGATTCGCGCTCATCGAACTTATCTTCGATAGATGAAGAATCTCCAAGGTTCGACAAGTTCAGCTCAGAAGTCGAACGGCAAAACCGAACCCGAAATGGGCTGTGTTTTCCTCTGCTTGAATCGATGGACGATCGGCGACTGCTGTGCTGGTCTGCCGTAATCTCGGACAATTTGTCCGTCATCACTAAGCTGTCCTGCCTTCGTCAAAGGTGAACTCTGAACGCTTCCTCGAATCACGAACAGAATTTTCCACCATGCTATTTGACACCCGGAAATCGTTTTGCTATAGAAACACCTACAATGACAAAATGCCCATCAGCGACGCTTCAGGCAATAGCACATGTTACGTGAGCAAGTCGTAGTTTTTGTACTGCCATTACAGAATTATCGGACGGAAACGCCAGTTGCGGCAATGAATAAGGACAGTTAACGTGATGGCAAATTGACCCCTTTTCAGCAAGCTGTAGCCATAGAAGTCTTCATGATTGTTAATACAGGGATTGGATTCGAACACTTACTCAGCTCCGTAATTGTCTTTTGCAACATCTTTATGTAATGAGGCACCAAATGCTG